GGATGGGGGAGGAGGGTTCACCAGCAATGACACGTCATGTCCCCCAGAAGCTTCAGTCACGGGAGACAGGGGGCAGATTCTTGAATGACTTTAATGAATACTTTCAGTGTATGTTTGTGTGTGTGTGTACGTGTGTGTGTGTGTAGGTGGAATGTCACATTGCACATGATAGTGTAGAAAAACAAAGGAGACCAAAGATGGAGGCAGAAGGTGGAGAGGCTCAGTTGGTGTAGATCTGGCCCTCTGGTGGCTGAGGGAGCTTCATGTTCTCCTTACACGTCATGAGCCGCCGCAGCTCATTCAGCACCATGCGGATGCTGTAGGAGTTCTGCCACTTGGCCACTGACGTCAGTGCGTGCATGTCCACCTGCAGGTCAGAGAAGGAAGAGATGACGCTGTTCTGTTCTTCACAGAACACCACAACTGAGCGACATTTAAATAATTCACGCTTTAAAAGTGTGATACGAATCAAAACTAAAAAAAAAAAAATGAGGATGAAAAAACACCCAAGAACAGTCGACGTTAATGATAATGAATTATGGAACGGACATTTCGTATCACCATTATTGATGCATAATTAACACACGTAAACTAGCAACGCAGGACGTTAACTAGCGACACAGATGAAAAGTTTAGATATCAGAAGCAAACATCATTACTGTGAGTATTCGTGGAGTTTAAAGGACATTTGTTAAACTCCCAGTTGGGAGTTCAGTTACAGGAATTTACTGACATTGTAAAAAAAAAAAAAAATTAATCGCCGCTTCTGAAGAAATGTCGTGTCTTTAGTTTTCAGGTACATCGTAGTTTCACCTCAGCCACCACCGTATTTAACTGCACTGTAAACAAAACGCGGCTTAAAGTCGGTTCAATTTACCTTTATTAAAAAATAATTTGAATAAACTTGACAGAAACAGGAGCTTTAGATCAGGTTTCCCTCACCTTAGGAGGACCTCCTCGCTGTAGGTACTGTGTAGGCCCTGCAGGGGGCATTCTTCTCATTGGTGCATCGCTACTGGCTCTGTGTTGATGAGTTAGGTGGCAAACAACCACTGCCGTCGCACAGTCGGCGTAGATATAACGACATCAGTAAAGGAGTGGAGCTGCACCGCAGCTTTTGGGTTTTTGTCCCTCAGAGTTTTGTGAAATCGAAATTAAAGCCTCAGCTTTAGTTCTGTGAACTATAGGACCAAGTGTGTTCACATGTCACACATTATTTTGTAGGTGTAGTTAGTTGTTTAATTGATTGGTTGTTAGTAAAATGACACCCATCCCAAGTCAGTATTGATCAACATCTCGTCTGTAATCGACCCCAGAAACCCCCCGGTGGTGTAGAGGTGTACTTACCACGCCGCTGGAGGTGTGCACGCCGTTCAAGTTTATCTTGGTCACAAATCTGACAAATGGTGGAGACTCTGGATAGCCTGGCCCGCACTCCACCTTCAGATTGTACATCCTGTTTTCAAAGCTCGTCTGATGACACAGAAAGAGAGAGGGGAGAGAAAGGGAGAGGTCATAAGTTTAAAGAACAAAAAATCATCACATTTTTGTTGCTCACTACTAGTCTGTTATTTTTAAGGGGTTGACAACTGTCCTCGTTTCATATATTTTATTACACATTTTCATCAAACCATTATTATAAATGTCACATATGAGGAATGATACTGGTAATTGTTTTACTTTATCCTTTTTTTAAAATGCTTCTTTTGCACATTCATTACCACATAATGATCTGACTGTTGTGTGTTTTTAAGGATATAGAAAAATAAATGATTTTAGAATTTTTTTAGAAAAATTAGGAGTTCATTAAAAACCTTAAACAATATTATTTTCTAATATGGCTGCTTTAAAGTTCTTATTTTATTACACATTTTCATCAAACCATTATTATAAATGTCACATATGAGGAATGATACTGGTAATTGTTTTACTTTATCCTTTTTTTAAAATGCTTCTTTTGCACATTCATTACCACATAATGATCTGACTGTTGTGTGTTTTTAAGGATATAGAAAAATAAATGATTTTAGAATTTTTTTAGAAAAATTAGGAGTTCATTAAAAACCTTACTTAAACTATATTCTTTTCTAATATGGCTGCTTTAAAGTTCTAGTCCTTAATTTTTCATCTTTGCATAAATAAACACAACCATGTATTTAAAAAAAAAAATCCCCTCACCCTTGGGGGGCCGATGATGACCCCTCTCCATCGTGTTAGAGTCATGTCGTCATCATCCTCCAGACCCCAGCTGACAGTCCCATCCCCAACACCTTTCTGGCCTTCCTCCAGCTCTTCCAAAAGCCAGAAATTGCGGGGTATTTTAACGCCTGTAGATGTTTACGGAGAAATACAGGTGAGTTTGAGGATGAAAAAAAGAAATTGCTGCAAACACTTTTTTTTTTACAAAAAGTATTTAAGTAATTAGTGAGAAAAACAGAAATGGAATCTAAAATGTTTGGGTTTTTTTGGTCATGTGTACCAACTTGGACTAAGAGAAAAATTGTTTTAGCCCTCAAATAAGAATTATTATATTTATATCTGGTTAAAAAAACAAAAGCCAAACCAGGACAGTTAGCTCAACCATTACATTTTTTAAAAAATATAACTTTGCAAAGATGTGATCAGATATGATAAAAAAACAAACAAACAAATGAATTATTTGTCTAATGGTTAATAAATCAATGTTTTAAATATAAAAAAAACCATGCACAGTGAATAGACATAACTATCACATCTACAGGATATTGTTGCAAAATTATATGATAAATATTACACCATCGGTCAAGCTAGCATTTAGAACAAGGATAATGTCATAAAAAACGACTGCAGACTGAGCTACATTTGCATAAAATGGAGTTGAACTGATTTAAAATCATTAGAACAGTTAGAATATTTTTGTTTCTGTTCAGACTTAAAACTAAAACGTGTTTGATTTGATTATTTTCTGCTTCATTTCCTCTGCTTTTTAGCATCACTCTTCGGATGTGCTGCATCATCTGGTCTCTGCAGTAAGATGATGCTGCAGCTGTACCGAGCAGCCGTGCTAACAGTCTGGCCACCAGCTGATGCAGCAGTCAGCCTCACTCTCCCTCCTCCTGTCAGTGCTTTTTTTTAATGTGATGAAAACGACACCACTGGAGAATAAACGCTAACGTAGTTGTTCACAACATAAATCACGTACAACCTTCATCGCGATAAAATGGTTTGTATTCGTTTTTATAGATAAACCTATAAATGTTGCATATTTGCAGGTGGAGTCGCCGAGCATCTTATGCAGCAGTGGCGGGGCTACGGGCTCCGCTAGCGTCAGAGCTGGGTGGTGTAAACATGTTTAACAATATCTTGGCATAAAACACCATGGGTGGTGGACTGGTGAATGTCCACATATATATAATACTCCGGCTAGTTGACTTCTGCTACTGGCAGTCGCCCTGCGACATCCCTTCATTGAACTGAATCTGCGCTAGCCTAGCCTAGCTTAGCTTAGCTAAAATTTCGGTCTCCGTTCATTGTGTTCGGCGACGTCAGCTTGCCGCTTGTCCGTTTGTTTGTACAGACCCAGAACGACAGTTAACTATTACACAATTACAGTTGATATTCATTGCCACAAATATTCAGCGATACTTTTAATTAGGATTTATTTTTCCCTCCCCGAAATATTACCTGATCCGGCGGCGACCGCCATCTTGTCGCTATACGGCGGGAGCGGGCATGGAGCACTGGCATTATGGCAAACCGTGCGTGCGCGTGCAGGAAACAGCGTGATTTTTTTTTCTTCTTTTGTTGTCAAACAGTCAAAGAGTTGACTTTTAAAGTTTGACAATCAAACAATGCTTTAAGAGAAAATACGAAATAGCGAAATAGTTAAAACAAATATTTAGAATTCTGACAACAACAAAAAAGAGATCATGATGAATCTGAATTCAGATGTGTACAGACCATAATAAGACAAATTAAAGTTAGTACTTTGGCTTTAATCTCAGAATTCTGTGGAAAAATAACAAAAAACTCACTTAAATCTGAGATATTTTATGTTATTTGTTCACTGTGTAGTATAGTGTTATTTTTAGATATTTTAATATTCTGTTTCTAAACATTGTTCGTGTAGTTCCTTCTCCAGGCATGCAGGCGGCGTTAGAGATACGCAATCAAAACCCTGTCCATTTATTTTTGCGTTTTCTTCAGTGCCTTATACAGAGTTAATGATATAACTCGGTCAAATATCTGTTCATAACAACACGACCGTAGTCTCTTTAAAAAAAGAAGCAAACACTCTGAATGTATGTTAAAGTTGGTGTGTTGACATTGTTCCTCCTGATAATCGTCCTGGAAGCAGATAAAGACCTCGAACCCTCGGTAACGCAACATGTTACGTCACGTATCTGCTCTATCTGCAGCAGGTTACTTCTATATTTTCCGAGGGGGGTTTGTTTTGACAAATGACGGTAACACGTATGCGAGCGCCTCCTACTGTTGTGTCTTGGTAGGCAAAACCACACAAAACAACTCCGAAGGGAGGAGTGTTTGTTTTTACAAACTCAAACATGAAGTGCACCTTGAAAAGCGCTAGTGTTTTAACTCTAAGTCGTCACCAGGGCTCACTGACCTCCTTATCCTGCACAGTGGCTGCAGTGGACTCTGACCGAGCCGGGAGTCAGTTCCATCAGCGTGTCTGTGTAACAACAACCTGAAAGACATTGTTTCTTGAACTGCTTAAAAAAAGGAACAGAGCAAGACGTCAAACTCAACCGCAGGGACCGAGGACACACGTAAGCGAATACGACATTTGTTTTGGACTAATATTATCAACTGCACGGTCGTCACTATGGTAACTCTAAATGATCTAACGTACTTTTTCAACCTCTTCCGCCGTGATCACACTTAATTAAAGTATGCGAGTTTTGTACCAGTTTAGCACTAGCATCAGTGACACTTCCTTGGATTAACGTCAGTCCCTCTTCTCTTTTTCTGTCCCCGCGATCACGTGATCACTCCCACCAGAGATGCGTGTCAGGACACAGTCATGGGGCTGCACAAAGTTTCCTCAACAGCGAGTTTGAAGGATGTGAAAGTGGTTTTCAGTTGCCTGACTAATGTTATTAAGATGAACTGTGGTAGAAAGGAGAACCGAAACTAGCTGTCGCTGTGGTTACTTTTAGTCACGAAAACACAGACGTTCCCTTTTTTTTTGGTGAGAATGTTTTTTTTTTTTTGGTAGGAATTTTGCGTGTTTAGCATGCATGCCTTATAACAAGGGTTCCCAACCTCCGATCTGGGGACCGGTGCTGGTCCGTAGGTCATTTGGTACAACATATATAGACACATATATTAACATATGTTTAATAAGTTAACGATAAGAGAGTAAAGATAAAAAGACAAACTTTAAGAGCTAAAATTTAGAATGTTTACTTTTTTAAATTTAAAAGCTTTATCTTTACAAACAACAGGCCTAAAACAGAGAACTAGATTTTTTTTTTAATAAGTTTCCTTACTGTGACTCAGTGGGTTGACCAGTCATATTACAATCACCAGGGTCAGGTTCAAACCCTCAGTTCCTCATCCTCATCAGCAGAACATGATGATGATGATGATGAAGATTTCTTCCAGGAAAGACATTACTCATAAACTTACTCACGTATTACCGTAAAATCCGTGGATGTCGTAGACAAGTCTATTTCCGGATTCTCAAACCTGTTGATGCTAGTTTATTTTTTTTTGTTTGGTTCCTGTAGGTTCCTGGACCACCTTCTTCTCAGGCTGTGTGGTCTCCTTCAGACTAATCCAGCCGCAGCATGGCTCTGCTAATCCACCTCCTGGCCTGTGCCTTCGGTCTGGGCTCCTGGGTGGCAGTGAACGGTCTGTGGGTGGAACTACCGCTCATTGTCAACACTCTTCCAGAGGGCTGGAATCTGCCCTCGTACCTGACCGTCATCATACAGCTGGCCAACGTAGGACCCCTGCTGGTCACACTCATGCATAAGCTGTGCCCGGGTCGACTCAAGGAGCCCGTGGTCATTGTCTTCATTCTCTGTGTCGGCGTCCTGTCCTGCGTTTTGCTAGCCTTCTTCTGGGACAGGACCTCGGTCGTGGCGGGGAGAACCGCCAGCACGGCCTTCTTCATCCTCACCTTCTTCCTCTCTCTGGTGGACTGCACCTCCTCCGTCACCTTCCTGCCCTTCATGATGCAGCTCCCGGCCAAATACATCACAACGTTTTACATTGGCGAAGGGCTGAGTGGCTTCGTTCCCGGTGTAGTGGCTCTGGCTCAGGGTGTTGGCATCGCCAAGTGCGTCAACTCCACCGGGACTCCAGCGGGAAACAACACTGACGGGAACCTCTGGTCCTTACAAGCAGAGTACATGTCTCCGACGTTCTCCACTCAGGTGTTTTTCTTCCTTCTGGCGGCCATGATGGTCATTAGCCTGTCTGCCTTCTTCGCACTGAACAAAATGCCTCGAACGTACGAAGTGTCCACAGAAAACCTCGTGTCGGAGGACGGCGTGTACGTCAGCTCCGGCCTGGACAACCCTGGGGCAGAGCTCGACGGAGAGGCTGTAAAAAGCAAGGGTGAAGGGGAAGGTGAAGGTGAAGCTCAGAGTCGCCCTCGTCTGGCCAGTGCAGACTACTCCGTGTGCCAGACCGTCTTTATTTATTCTGTGGTGCTGTGGATCAATGCAGCCACCAACGGCCTGCTGCCCTCGGTTCAAACCTACTCCTGTATACCCTACGGGAACCTGGCCTACCACCTCTCTGCTGCCCTGTCATCTGTGGCCAACCCATTGGCCTGCACCGTGGCCATGTTCTTCCAGAACAGGTGAAACCACTGGTTCTTTATAATCAAACTGAAAAGTCTAGGAGAGATGATTAAAAAGATGGTTAGGTTTAAATGTTGTATTAATTCTACATGGTATATTTCAGATTTATTCAGTTGGAAATGTAAATGTGAAAATATGAATTTTTCCCACGTACCACTAGAGAGCGCTCACATACCACCGGTGGTACGCGTACCACAGTTAGAGAACCACTGGTCTAAGGGTTAAGCTTAAGGTCAAGGGGGTCAAGGGGGACTCTAAGGGTTAGGCTTAAGGTCAAGGGGGTCAAGGGGGACTATTAGTTTGTTGGATTGGTAAATATTTTTGAGTAAAAGTATCTGAGTATCAAGTACCTGATACTCAGATGCTCTAGTGTAGTGGTCAGCAGGTCTGCCTCTGAAGCAGAGAGTCCTGGGTTCGATTCCTAGAGGAACCACATACTTGCCGCCTCTAGGGGGCAGCCTGGTGCAGCAGATCTGCTGTTAACACAACACCCTCCCCCCTCCCCCCCCAGTGTGGGATCAATAAAGTTCACATCATCGTTCTTGTTACCCAGAAGCCCCTGCTGACGGCTGCTGTGGTTGTTTTTCAGATCGCTGGTGTTCCTGGGTCTGCTCACCGCCCTGGGCACAGGGTTCGGCAGCTACAACATGGCCATGGCGGCCATGAGTCCGTGTCCGCTGCTCCAGGGCTCTGTCATGGGAGAGGTTTTCATTGTAAGTGAAACATTGAAAATGTTGAGAAAGAAAAGTGTGTGTGTGTGTGTGTGTGTAACACGTGTGTCCTGTCAGTCTGCAGCTCAGTGGACACTTTCACTGTGTAAATACAGC